CTTTGCGAGGGATGTGGCGCGCCGAGGAGTGCGGGGCGTGACATTACAGGCCTTTTTTTGGCTCCAACTGCCTTGGGTTCTTCCAAGCAATGCTGGATTGCTTTGGAAATGGCGTTTGATGAATGTTCGGGTTAGACACCATAGCTACCTCACGAAGGGGCTCTTTGTCTTTCCCCTAAGGATAAGGCATCCGTGTTATTATTTCTTGGACTTTCTTCTCTTTCAATCCCCACTCGATCCTTTCACCCACTTTTACCAGCATGGTGAATGTTTAACAGCCTGATACATGTAACTTGTCGTAATATTCAATTGGTAATGATTTCAAAAAGAGCTCAATAAGCTCATCCTCGCTTATGGCAGGTTTTACTTGCGAAACGATAGTTTTCCATCTTTGGGCATAAGCTCGAAACCCTTCATTCTTTCATTTCTCCGTTCTGACGAGATCCTCCTAAGTTGGGAGTGCTTCAACATTAAATTTGTATTGGCGGAGGAATTCTCAAGCCAAATGATCCCATTCCGTGAAATCTTCTATGTTAAGTGTAGTGTACCATGCCAGGGCTGCTCCTCTCAAGTGGTCTTGAAACGTGCTAATGAGAAATAGCGTGTTGTCTGAATACCTTGCCATCTTACGGAGATAATATTTCGAATGACTTTTGGGATAGCTAGTTCCATCATACTTACTCACAAACTCTGGTTCCTTGTAATTTTTTGGAACAACTACTTTTACATATGGTGAGAACTTGTCGAACCTTTGAAGTTCATATCCCTAACTTGCCAAACATTCTTCAATTTTGGTCAATCTTTTGGACTCTTCCTCATCCTTCACTTTGGATGTCTTTTTAGCTAGATCATTTTCTTCCAAATTTACTACTTCAGGAGTAGCTTTTGGAGGATTTTCTTAGACTGGTTCTTTACTTCTAACTGGTTCTTCAATAGGAGTTTCCGTAGCACTTGAAGTTCCAGTATTAGGAATGGTGGGATAAGATCCTCTGGAAGCAATGATGAAAGCTTTCATTTCCATCATCATGGCGGCCATTTTGGTCATTTGGTTCTCAATTTTAGCTAGTCGAGTACGAGTTTCTTCTTTCGCCATTTTAGTTTGTAAACGAGTTCGGATTTGGGTTCTTCTTTCTTCCGTCACTATGTTACCTACTTTATGAAAAGACAAGGTGTTAGCATGATGAAACAGTCAAGAAAACCTACATTCTTGCAAGTGTATGGTTTTTTTTGTGATTGTAACACCCCGGATCTACACTGTGTAATATTGTTCGCTTTTGGGCCTACTGACCCTCACGGCTTTAAAACGCGTTACACAGATATAGAATCCCAAGCCTTATAAGCAAGCCCAAGGTTCCCTCCCTAGGCGATGTGGGACAAGAGAGGTACCCCACTTCGCTGTGCACGTCCGGGGTAGTAGCTCGAACGCACCACCATCCCTCCTCCCCGCGCTCCGCCGCTTGGCTTGGGCCGTCACACTATCCCCCCCTTACGGGCACAACGCCCTCGTTATGGCCCCATACGCGGTCGGGAGTCGGCTCTGATACCACCTGTAACATCCTGGGTCTACACTATGTAATATTGTTCGCTTTTGGGCCCACTGACCCTCACAGCTTTAAAATGCGTTACGCAGATATAGAACCCCAAGCCTTATAAGCGAGCCCAAGGATCCCTCCCTAGGCGATGTGGGACAAGAGAGGTACCGTACTTCCCTGCGCACGTCCGGGGTAGTGGCGCGGACGCACCATCATCCCTCCTCCTCGCGCTCCGCCGCTTGGCTTGGGCCATCACAGTGATTAACAAGGATAAGAACTTTTATACAAGCCTTAGCCCTGTATAAAACTTTTCATCAATGTCTTTATCAAGTAATCATACAATTCAAAGAATTGTAATCCATGGTGATTCTTTTACGTTTTGAAATCATGTTTTGAACTTAATCATACACGTCTAGAAAGCAATCAATTCATCATTGCTTATAAAACTTGAAATTGTTTAATATCATGATCTTAAACTCAAATGGGAATCTAAATTATCCAATTCTAGGCTTCTTGCTAGCTAAGGTAGCTTCCGCCTTTTGGCATTCTTCCCATTCCTTGATGCGAGATTTCCATTTATCAACATCGACCACGACCTCCTTGGGGACATAGGGCTCCACTCACGATTAAGGAAACTATAAAAGCAATAATGTAATGGAAAAGACAACAATACAAGTAAAAGTTTGAGAAAATCTTCATACTCCAGTGCATATGTATTTTCTGCTTCGGTTATGATGACATTGATAACATTCTCCTCGAATAAATCAGGTAAAATAGATTCTTCCTCTATGTGTAAATCCTCCTTTTGAAGTAGTTTGGAGGGTCCAGAAAAAGTTTCATTGATATGAATCTGGTAATAAAGAAGCTCCTTAGCTTTACCTTTCCATATTGACAGATTAATAACACGATCACCTCGGCTTCCATAGCCTCCATGGTTCTTTTGACCTCGGCCTTGACCTTCTTGGTGATTATTAGAGCTTTTTATGATATAACCTATTCCATGTCTCTTCTTCGTGGCAAGTGGGATAATAGGTTCCTTGATCCCTTGGGCTTTTGACCCAAGTCCGTCACCAGGAGTGAATCCATATTGGCATAACACCTTCCCCGACATAATAGATGATGTTGAGAGTTTTGGGGACTTTATGATACTTCCGGAGAGGATTTGCACCATCGAAATCATTTCGAAGGAATGATAGCTCGGTTCGTCTTTTACCTCAGGTTCAATATATGGTATTGCACTTTTCTTGTAAGTGGTTGTTGATATCTAATTTTTAGCCGACGAGTCATTGAAAGCAGAAAACTCAAGATTAGGGTTTCCGATCGCGACGGACCCCTATTCTTGAACAAAAAGCGTCGTTTTTTAATTCCGTTTATTGGCTTAGCTTCTGTAGATGGTTCACCATTAATTTCATGCAAAAACCTGAAAAGTCAAATGATTGACTTCGGGTTGACTTTTTGGTCAACCCTTTGATCAAAAGTCAACCCTAGGTCAAATTGGGGATTTTCGCATAAAAAGATTCTTTTCAAGTTTAATTTCACTTTAGAAGTGGAGATTCTAGAAAAATTCAAAGATTTGATCATAAAATCAAACTCCTAGTGAAAAGTCAACTAGGATTTGACTTTTGATCAAACCTTTGACCAAAAAAATCGGAAATACAAAAATTCAAAAATCATCTTATTTTATATTCAATCTGACTTTGGCATCTGAAATTTTGCAAAAATTGATTAAGAACCTACTTTTTCCCAATTTGCGAAAATTGATTCGGAATCGGCCAAAAATAAAATTATTTTCATTTTGTTCATATTTTAGCTTAGTTCCTTTGACGACATTTGATCTAGAGGTCATCATAAGATTACTCGTGCGACAAATTTTGTGAATCGGCACTTTGAAATGAAAACCCCCAATTTTAGCCCTAATTAGGGGTTTGAATCAATCGTTCACGATTCGCGAATGATTGATTTCATTTGACTCATCCGAAGTAAATTTTGTGAAAATTCACTTGAGAACTCTCCAATTTTTAGATTTTGCAAAAAAGTCCCCGGGTTTTGTGAAATTAGAAAAAATCCCCTAATTAGGTCCTTAATTGTAAAATTAATCAAGACCGTTGATGAGATTAAATCATGGCCATTCAAATTAGTATAATGTTAAATGAGGTTTTTGCTTAACTCCTAAGTAAAGGATAAGCACAAATCTCGACCGTCGTATCAAACCGACGGCCGAGATTGACTCTTGAGGGGAGCATATAACTCATTTTCCCTCTAGAATTTGAGAGAAGGGGGGCCATTTCTACAAAAATTTTCTCTCTCTAATATGTTTTTCTCTCTCTTCTCTCGCTTTTTCCAGCTCTCTTTCTCACGTACTCTCTCTTTCTCGCTCTCTCTTCCTCCTCCCTACTTCCACCGAACCGCCGCTTTCTTCTCTTCCCACGGCCACACGCCAGCAACGCCGCCCTTCCGATCACCTCCTCCGACGTCCGCCTCCCTCTCTTTGACGCCTTGCTGGTCGGAGCACCGCCGGAGGAGCCTCCGATCTTCCCGTCCAGCCCCTCTCCATCGCAGTGGTGCGGATCGGCACAAACCGAGCGGATCTACCTAAACCGGTTCATCGGTGGTGAACCGGTGCTAATCGGTCCTCTTCTGGTGTCTCTTGAAGTCCTTGGAGCTTCCTCAATGATCCTTGAGAGGTTTTTGCTGCTGTTTTGCTGAGATAATCACGGATCGAAGCTCGGTTTAACCGTCTCGATCTCGAATCCGATGAAGCGAGGCTACAATAGGTAGCCGGGGCTAGGATTCACCTTAGGACTTTCTATGGACTCCATATTGATGGTTTATGGTGGCTGATTACATGTTTGATGATTTGATGATGATGTTCTTGAGTTGAAACCTGTTCTGCAAATTTCGAGTTTCTGGACCTATTTTCTGTTTTGATGATATTGACGTGTTAAACTTCATTTCTGGACTTCGATACCTTCTGGACTCTTGTAATACACTTCGAAATTTTCGATTTGGTATCTTATGGCGCTTGATTTGATATCGTTTGCTACCTGAAAACTTATTCTAAAGTTTGCATCAGAATCAGAAGTTTTGTTGTTCTGTTTCTTCACGTTTTTACACGATCGGAGCAGTTTTGCTAAATTTTTGCTGATTTTTCTGTTCGGATCTGGATGTTGTGGTCTTCATGAAAGTTGCTGAGAATGATCTTGATCATAACATATGTTTTTTCTAGATTTTTCTGATGAGTCTAGATGAATGAAATCCTCTGTGAATCGACCTAGGGTCTGAAACAGCTTTCTGCATTGATTACTTTGAATCAGGTTGTTTGGTTTGATGATTTTTTTCTGCCTTGTGTGTTGAGATTCAATAGGAGTTGTCCTCATAAAAAATGATCTAAATCAGGTTGGTTATAACATAGGTTTTTCTCGGAATTTTTGGAATATGCCTAGGTGTGGAAAACTCATGAAATTTGACCTAACTGCACTGTTGTCGATTTTTTTTCTGATTTTTCTGCTAAGATCTAAACTTAGGTCTCTTCATGAAAAATGTTCACATATTTCTTTATTACAACATATAAGTTTTTCAGATTTTTTGGAGATAAATAGATAGGTGAAAACCTCTGTGAATTGACCTCATGTCTTGTCTGCTTCTACTGGAACCCGAATTGGATTTGCTCAAAATTGAATGTGCAATTATGATTTCTTGACCTTGATGTCTTCATGAAAGTCATAGTATAGTTCATTACCTTTTCAAAAAGGTATAAATCATGTCATTCGGTCATCATTTGCATGGTCAATTGCATGCTCAATCTTGAATCCTTATTCTGTATTTGTTGATTTCAAGGAACCCGATCTGTTTTCCCGTTTTTTTATTTTTTTCTTTGGAATCACAATTAGGTTTGGATTTTTCATGAAAAATGTTCATCATGTTGTATACTATTCACATGATTTGTATCACATTTTTTGCCATGTCATGAGGATAGTAAACAACATGTATCTTGTGAGCTCATTTGCTGCAATTCATTACTGATATGCATTATTGTAGAAACCTTTTTAATTGACCATGAAATTGATGTTAATCAAACTCGATGCCTTCTAGAAATTCTTAGAGAACGTCTTAACCTTTCTAATGATGCCGAGATTGTCTCATTTGCATGTCCATAGGCCCCTTTATTATTTTTTATGAGGTTCCCCTGAAATCTAGAAAATTGTGAATTCGGAATGCTTGATGTGCCAAATCTGTGTTTACGATTTGCTGATTTTGTGTGAATTTTTCGGTAAAGATTTTGATGATGAGTTCTCATGGACTTTGATTGTCATTCCCAGACCTAGGTTGTGACAAAATTTGAGAATTTTTGGACATCATTAACATGCTCAAATTTCCATGAGATTGCTTTGAAAATCTGTTCCTATGTTCTGTTCTGATGCACTTCTTCGTGTTATGTGATTTTTGTAAATTCATGTGTAGCTTATCTTAAGGAGTTTTATTCACAGAAAATGTTTGTTGTTGTGTGCTTGATGTACCATAAATTTTCCAGAACATTTTAACAATGGGTCCTTTTCCAATTGAATGCATCTTGTATCCCCTGTTCTGCTGTCCTTTGTTTTTTCCTTTATGAATTGTCTTTGTTTTAGGATATTTTAGAAAATAATGCATGCTGAACCAGTTTTTTTAATGCCTTCACAAGTTTTAATACTCACAATTTAATGATTTTCTAGTGCATGTGTTTGTGATTGGCGCATGATGAATTGAATGAAGTGACCCGATGTCGGTTCACTAATTTTAGTGATTGGATGAGAATCAAGATCTTTCGACCTGCTTGCATGTTTAATTCATCGCTATGCATGTAATGTTTAGATGGATGCCTAGGGATGGTGCATGATCGTGGGTCCAAATTGGGGATTACATATAGAAACTGATTTAGGGATTCATGGCATTAATTGCTGTTGGTGAATACCAATGGTAGTTAATAACCATGAATTGTGTCTAAAACGAACACGGGTAGATAATAAAAGGTATCAATGCATGTTTGAACAAAGGCCGACCCCGAGGCCACCTTTGAAATTCTTTGTGCCTTGTTTGTTATCTTTGATTGACTTGTGATTATGTGTACTTTGTGATTGTATATTGTTTGTTGTTGTTCTTTCTTTAGTTTCAGTTTTAGATTAGGGTTAGAATAGGTCCAAAAAGACGACGGTCTTGAATATGGCGAAGGTTGATGTCCATTCCGACTCTATTCTTTGTATACGGCGATGGTCGATGTCCATTCCGATCTATTTTCTTGTAAAAATTCATTCATTACCCGATATATGTCTCGGGTTTCTTATATGCGTTGTATAAACACCTGAGGAGTTGCGGGTTTTTCTTTCTTGCACTTAGAATTAGCTAGTTCTTTCAATACCTTGGTTGTTTACTTTACGTAATGCTTTTCAATACAATTGTTTGTTTCTTTCTTTTCTAGACTAAGATAGGATTTGTTTAGAATTTTAAATGGAAACACAAAAACAAGATGCATGATCACCTAGTGGACTAAGACTTTGGCATGAAAATGGTAAAAAAATAAATGCATGACAACTTAGATAACAACCATGATAAGTTTAGCAGTACCGAAAAGGTGTTAATAGAAATATTAACGTGAGCTAGTCCTCGAACTCATGATCTTTGGTTTTCGTAGAAATCGAAACGAAACTCCCGTGTTTCGGTTGGGTATTCTAGTCGACCCCCGACCTAGGCTAGTGGCGACTCCTAAAAAAGATAAAATCGATCCGCTGTCACGCGAGGTATGGATTTAGGGAAAATCCATGTTCATGACCAATGGACCGTATGGATGACCAAAAGATCGATGCTTCGGTAAGCCGTCTTTTATGATATGCCAAACGGACCGTATGGATGACTAAAAGATTGACACTTCGATAAGCCGTCTTTTATGATGTGCCATGCGAACCGTATGGATGACTAAAAGGTCGATGCTTCGGTAAAGCTATCTTTTATGATGTGCCATATGGACCGTTTCATGAACACTTACCTCTAAACCCGCTTATCGAGTTTGGCCCTTGAGAGGTAGGTCGCGACAATCGTGAAATCTGTCTCTCCATGTACAGTGATTATTTTGCCGTTAATAACGAATCTAACGTTATGATGAAGACTTGAAGGGATAGCACCGGCCATATAAATCCAAGGCCTTCCTAGCTGCAGATTGAAAGTCCTCAGAATATCTACCACTTAAAAATCAATTAAGAAGGGCACATGGCCTATATTTACCTTAAGCTTGATATCGCCAACGACATCTTGCTTCATTTCGTCAAACGAACGCACAATTACCTTAGAAGGTTTAGTGAGCTCTTCACTGATCCCCAAGCGATGTAGTGTGATCAGCGGACACAAATTAAGTGCAGAACCATTATCAATCAACACATGTGATACTTCTTTACCTCGGCATCTAACAACAATGTATAGGGCCTTGTTGTGTGAACGTTCGTCCATTAGGAAATCTTTATCAGAGAAAGCGATATGATCTTTCAAAAGAATAGTGCCAACGAAATCCTCCAACTACACTTCGTTGATCGTCTCTAGAACATGTACTTCATTAAGAAGTTTCATAAGCACCATTTTATGACTGTTTGAGGTTTTAAAGAGATCCAGTAAGGAAATTTATGCCAGCATCTTCCTTAGCTGTTCAATTACTTCATACTCACTTGTCTTCATGACTGATAGCAATGGCTTCACATCTTCTTCGGTTACCCCTTTCTTTTCATGATCACCCTCCTTCGGGACATAGCATCTTCCCGATCGAGTTATAGCATCAACTTCTTTAGGTGCGTAATCCCAGGGCACGCACTTAGTGTCAAACTTTTCTTTTGGAGGCAAAGTAATGATCACAGGCTGTGTCTCCCTTTCCTCGATCATTAGCTGATCAATTAGAAGTTGAATGGTAATGGGTTCAACATGACCTTTTTCTTCCTCATACTTATCCACTTCATCAAGTTTGATTAGAAATGGTGTGACCATGGACACCATGCTTCTATTGGCTTTATCGGCATCCATTCCACCCCAACCATCAGGTGTGATCATTTTGTTCTTAAAAGCCCATGAAGGGGATGTGTATTTGACACGGTAATTGTATCGGCCACTATCTTGACCCAAGAAGTCAACAACTTCATCTTGTTTCTGTGCTTTGCGAACGAATTGTCTATCGCCTCGGCGAGTCTTTTTCTTCTTTTTCTCCTCTCGATCTTCCTTTTCCTCAAGATTTAGTTTGTTAATTGAAACCTCGTCCATGCCGCCCCATCCGTTAGGTACGATAACTTCATTTTTAAATGCCCATGGAGGCGGGGTGTATTTGACGTGGTAGTTATATTTGCCACTGTCCTAACCAAGTGGGTCCACGATTTCACCCTGCTTAAGTGATTCTTGAGTAAAACGCTTTTCACCCTAACGGATCCTTTCCCTTTCTTTTTCATATTGATCTATTTCGTCTTAGAATGGAATTTCATTCTCAGGATTCAGCTCATCATCTATACCGCCCCAACCATCGGGCACAATTACTTCATTCTTGAATGCCCATAGTGATGGGGTATATTTTACTTGGAAGTTATACTTACTAGAGTCTTCTTCTAAGTTGTCTACAGCTTCACCTTTTAGAAGTGCTTCATGATGAAAACGGGCATCCCTTAGTCGACAAGCTTCCAACTTAGCTTCATATTCATCTTCATCATCAGACCCAATTATTTCTTCTTCATCCTGGATTATGTTTATCGCATTAAGCTCACGAAGAGGATTCTGATGTACATTTGGTTTGGGCTATTGGAAGTTAAGTATCTTCTTGTGAATGAGCTGCTGAACCTTATATTTTAGAGTGGGATAATTATCTACGTCATGTCCCATTTCTCCCATGTGGTACGCACAGGTTTTTTATTCATCATACCAAGGAAACCTTGCAGGATTGTCTCTTGGCACCTCTTTTGTCACAAAATACATTTCTAGAAGCATTGGTAATAGCTTTGACAGAGGTCGCAACAAAGGTGTGAATTGCCTTACAGGACTTTTCGTTGGCTCAAACTACCTTGGGTTCTTCCAGGCGATGTTGGATTGCTTTGGAAATGGCGTCTGATGAATGTTCGAGTTAGACACCATAGCCACCTCACAAATGGGCTCTGTCTTTCCTTCCAGGATAAGGCCTCTGTGTTATTGTTTCTTGGACTTTCTTCTCGTTCAATCCCCACTCGATCCTTTCACCCACTTTTACCAGCATGGTGAATGTTTGACAGCCTAACACATGTAGCTTGTCGTAATATTCAATTGGCAATAATTTCAAAAAGAGCTCAATAAGCTCATCCTCGCTTATGGTAGGTTTTACTTATGAAGCGACAGCTTTCCATCTCTAGGCATAAGCTCGAAACTCGTCATTCTTTCGTTTCTCCGTTTTGACGAGATCCTCCCTAGTTAGGAGTACTTCAACATTAAATTTGTATTGGCGGAGGAATTCTCTTGCCAAATAATCCCATTCTGTGAAATCTTCTATGTCAAGTGCAGTGTACCATGCCAGGGTTGCTCCTCTCAAGTTGTCATGAAACGTGTTAATGAGAAGTGACGTATTGTCTGAATACCTTGCCATCTTGCGGAGATAATACTTCAAATGGCTTTAAGGCCACCAGTTCCATCATGCTTACTCACGAACTCTGGTTCCTTATAATTTTCCGGAATAACTACTTTTGCATATGACGAGAATTTGTCGAACCTTTGAAGTTCATGTCCTTGACTTGCCAAACATTCTTCAGTTTTGGCCAATATTTTGGACTCTTCCTCATCTTTCACTCTAGATGTCTTCTTAGCTAGATTATCTTCTTCCAAATTTACTACTTTAGGGATAGCCTTTGGAAGATTATCTTGGACTGGTTCTTTACTTTTAACTGGTTCTTCAATAGGAGTTTCCATAGTATTTGAGGTTCCAACATTAGGAATGGTGGGATAAGATCCTCGGGAAGCAATGATGAAAGCTTTCATTTCCGCCATCATGGCGGCCATTTGGGTAATTTGGTTCTCAACTTTAGCTAGTCGAGTACGGGTTTCCTCTTCCGCTATTTTAGTCTGCAAACGAGTTCGGATTCGAGCTCTTCTTTCTTCTGTTGTTATGTTATCTGCTTTATGGAAAGACAAGGTGTTAGCAAAGACCAAGCAAAGACATCCCGGTACTCCTTCAAGAGTTTGATCAGTCGATCAGTATCTCTTTGAGAGAGACCTGCCCCAATTTTTGTTTCCTTGGGATTTTCAGAATCACCCAAATTTATAATGACAGTTTGTTCTTCAGTGGGAGGTTTGGATTCTTCATGTCGGATCCATTCTTTTTTAATAACCTGGGAATCTTCTTCGTTTTCTGGATCAGAATAATCAGGTTCGTAAGAGTTTTTTTGGACACGAATCCAAGCCATGCATATGACTATCATGATTATGCAAAGTGTCATGCCTGAGATGCAACAAAAAATGGTTAGTATATGAAGATAAGAAATGCAATGCATGAAGATGTGATGAAATTTTTTTTTCGAATTCCAGATTTTCGAAAATTTCATGGGGAACTCGTCCTCATATCATTGGACATCCTTGTTCCAAAAGATTATTTTGAAAACTATAGATCGTGCAAAAGTCCAGGCCTCAAAGTATCATCATAGGGCTGGTTTGGTATACTTTCGCACGTCTATTAACAAAACATGAGAATGCTTTTATTGATATGCAGTAAATGTCATATAGTGTTTTGGATCTAAAGTTCGTGATCCGAGTTATTACAACATATGAAATGAACGAAACAAATGAAATGAACAAATGGAAGTCCCTCGCAGGGGAGAATTAGATGAATTACAACTGAAAACAAAGTAGAACACGGGAACATCCCTTACACAGCGGGATCGGTAGGTGGATCATCCTCAAAGCTTTCAGAAATGGCACCCACAGAACTCTCTTCAAATAGGTCGACGATACCATAGATATCTATTTCTTCATCTTGGAGAAACTTTGGCGGTCCAGGGAAGAAATCTTTCAACAAAAGAGGGAGCACACGTCGATAACTCTTTTCTTTGATGCTCGGGCTTTTTTGATTACCTTGATCCTGTCGATCGTCCTGGTAACCTAGGCCTTCTCGTTTCTTTCTCTTAATCACCTCAATGGGTGTGAGGATGCCTTGGGACAACTTTCCCAATCCTTTGCCAATAGTGAATCCATGTTCGATCAACACTTTGCTAGACATAAGGGCCGCCTTTGAATAGTGAGGCTTTCTCATAATAGTGCCTGCGGGCACATAAGATACTGACACTAACTCGATTGAATGGTAGCTTGATTCTCCTTTTACTTATGGCTCAACATAAGGAATTGCAGTATTGTTGAAGGTTTCGGTATCCTTCTCACAATGG